CCAGGTTGGATTCTAAGCCTGAATGAACTGCAAGCCTGTTACAGTATGTTAAGAAGTAATCAGAAACTCTCTGCTAGTCCGCAACAGGTTGTCATATGGTTTGACAGGATGGAAGAGTGGAGGTCCCGGTGAGGCAACTGATGAGGTACGATTCCTTCTCAATGCCTGAATATTTGAAAGGAGTTGATTTGTTTGTTGGACTATTGAAAGTATCTCTCTTCTTCTCGAAAGATCCTGTCCATTTACAAATCATAACGGAGAATCATCCCACAAGAACAAGATCAAACCTTCCAGTAGGTAAGCCAGGATGGAAGACAGGCTAGCTGCGGTTGGGAATACCAGAGGTCATGTAACAAGTCAGATCCCAGCAAGTGGTGGTCGTGAGTTATCACAGGCCCAATCTCCAGCCTGCGAAGATGGCTCAACGATATGTGCTGATCACGGCGGTTCCGGAATTGCAACACTGGAAGTCAGAATTGCTTCTGATGTTGTGCTGAGCTTCAGTTGGTGTCATGATCTCCACCACTCCGTGAAGCGCAAGGGGCGGAGCTTGCGGGTTTAATTGAGATCCAAACGACTAGCCCAATTGATGTAAAAGGTATTTGCACCAGGAATTCATGATGTCTGCTTGAAAAAAGCCAGATTTAGAATCGAGCACTGAATGACCACTCAAAGAAAGTTGGCTTGGGCACTCGTATACTCAAGGAACACAGGATCAGATAACCTTGTCATATCTTCTTCTCCACTGCCTCGCCAAAGGTTGAAACATTTTTGGAAACTAAATTGGCCTCTTTGACAGCCAAACTGGGCTGCGGGAACATTTCAAATATTTGACAAGGCGCTAGAGTTGGGGCTTCAAAAACGAGGCTTTCTGACTCCCGAGCTTTGCTCAACATATTTCGAAGTTCGACGACGCGGGTATCGGCAAATACGAGAAGCGCATGGCATGGAAGCCAGATGTATCATGTGAACCTATTGGAAATCGAAGATCCCCGTTGAATCACGGGGCATCGAGACTCAAAAATGAATCAAATGCGCGTAAGAAAATAGTACGCCAAGTTGAGCAAAACGAGCTCACTCAGGTTTGTCCGCGAAGGAACAAGAACCCAGTGCAAGCTATCCACAGCTGTCGACCTCATTCTTGGAAACCATGAATCTTGGGTATCTCACATGGGCTCTATCAAGCAGCTAGGCAGAGCCAGTTTTGAATGGCTGATTGATTGTAATGAGCTAAAAGGGTTGGTTTGAAAATTGTTATCACAACTTCTGGGACATACCTGACATCCACAAATATTACTTGAAGCCAAGGAGATTGAGCACCACAAGATCAAATGGCTTCCATCGGGTTGCGAACTGAATTGTTGAAAACCGTACTGTTAAACATGCAAATGAGGTAAAGTGATAGATGAATGCAATCACTTCAACTAGAAGGGCAGAAGCAGGTCTGAAGCAGAAAATTGTTGTGATCTCTGATCACAGCCGCTCAATCAAGAGGAGATCATATTTTCCTTATAAGCTTGAGCCATGGAGCTCAGCGTTTGGGACAGATCTTCTCCCCTCAGCGGTGGATCTATGATCATGCACATTACTCCACCGAATTGACTCTTAGGGTGGAATTTGTCATTAACTAATAAGGTAATATGTTTTAAGAAATGGATGACAGAAAGCCTGGAAAGCTCGAGGGTGGGGGAGAAGAGGTTTGCATCAATGATGCGGAAGCTGGGGTCAATCACAAAAGGCTCCAGGGAATATTAACGCTGGAGAGGGTAATTGATTATTGAACAGGTGCCCGGATAGCCTCACAGGTGATTTATCATATCTTTCGTGTCCCTGTGAGTTTACTTTGTATTTGGCCGTGGGATAGGAAGAAATTCTTCGCACTTATCATGTGGATATGCAGTACGTAAACAATCGCAATTTTGTGTGCTTGGCACTCTCAGCAATCAAACGGCCAATATTTCAAAAATATCTCCTTGTCTTTATCATTCTTCACAAGTGCATCCATGAGCTCTGGTTTGAACTGCCGCAATTTTATCATTGCGAGTTCGTAATTATGGTACCCGATGAGGCCCATTTCAGGGCGCAAGTCCCTCAACTTCTCCTTGATTGAAACCATAATTTTAATATCGAGTCAGCAGCCTGTACATTTCTTTATCAATTTCGGTCATTTGGGAACTCAATAGAGAATTTTGGACCCGGGAAAATTTGCGACCATCCATCGCTCAAGTCGCAATGATTCTCAGGAATGTGCTTCACCACGCACGGCGATATTTTGGATAAGATATCCAAGATAGCCGCCATCTTTAGATCTCCGGAATCGATATGCGCTATATTTTGCAGAGTTCTAGGGTTTTTTTTTTTATATATATCGCCGTCTGGGATGCAACGATGAGACACATGGTGGAAAACCGCTTTGTAGCAAGGGCGCGAATGGCGCGAATGGCGCGAATGGCGGATCAAGGTTGTCAACTTTTTTGGGTATTAGAGGATCTACGCTTCTTTATTTTCCTTCTTTCTTCCATTCCAAACCTTATTTCCATTCCCAACCTTATTCTGAGAACATATGGAACTGATTGGTGGCAAACAAAATAAGGGAGGCTGCGGTGTAGTGGGGAGGTATATTAGGTCGGCAAAGGCTGGTCCCTCATAGCCAAGGAAGTCCCGGTTCCGGCAATGGTCAAAAAGAGTGATTATTTGCACGGATTTCCAGTCTATGATGCCAAGAAATTCTCTGAGGCTGGCGGGATTGACATATATATGATTTCCAAATGGATATCATTATGCCAGAGGTGGCCTGTCCTAGAGGCTGTTTCCTTGGGTAACAGAACACTCCAAATT